CCCCGCCCCTCCAGACCGTCGCCTTAGGGTCACGACCATCACACGGGAGACCTGGCGCCTAAGCCCCGCCCCTGCGAATGTGCCCGCCCTCTCTCACACCCCCTCCCGGCGCTCCAGTCGCTGCTGGAGGGTCGCCGGGCGGCCGACGGCCTTCGCGCATGCGCAGACGGTGACGCCGGGCGCCATGTTGGCCGAGCGACTAGGGAGGAGGTGGCGTCGGTGGTGATCGTTGCGAGTCGTTTTCTCCCTCTTCCTCCTCCCTTTCCTTTCCCCTCACCCGCCGGCTCACCCTCTTTCCTTCCTTCCCTTCCCCCTCCTCCAACCTCGGCCTCCCGGTGGCTTCGACGGGACGGGGTGAGGGAGGAGGCGCCGCCGCCGCTCCCGCTCCCTGCGCCGGCTGGCGGCGCACCATGAGTGTTGGCGGGGGGCGGGTGTGCGACCTGTCCCGCAGGAACCCCCAGGAGGACTTCGAGCTCATCCAGCGCATCGGCAGCGGCACCTACGGCGATGTCTATAAGGTGAGGGACAGAAGAAGCTTCCTCCACCGCGCACCCTCGCCTTCCCTCGGGCATCTTTCGCGCTCAGGATCCCCTCAGCCAGCCACCCTTCACCCTTCGTCTGTCAACACAGCCTCCTCCTCCGCCTTCGCCCCTCTTGTCATGCTTTCCGTCAGTACAGTATTCCCTTCCCCGATCCTCCCCCTGCTAGGCCTCCTTGCCGCCTTTTAGCACACTCTCTCTCGGAGACGATTTGACAGCAACAACAACAACACCCGCCTGCCCTTCCATCTACACTTATTATAGGATATTTTGTCCCTCCTCCAGCCCAAGTTCTCCTGTGGACGAGACTCACACTCTTGTTTTCCTCAAACCATATTCTCTCCATCCCTTTGGGTGCACTTGGGAACCACACGTCTCCTTATTCTTGCTTCCTTCTAAGAATTTGGGGTTGGGGAAGGCTTTCCAGTAGAGATCTCCTATTTCTGACGTGCTATTTGTAATACCTGTAAGGTATCTGTATGGTGTTATGTCAAAGCTAACAAACCTAGGTGTGTTTCTTTCCTTGTTTACCCTGGCCTTTATGTATTTCACAAGCAACCAGTCCTCCTTCAAGGAAGGTCCTAGAGCCAGGATCCATCCAGCAACAGTGGGCTGTGGTCTTTAAGCTAAAGGCTGGACTTCTGCCAACAAAACAGTCCTCTTCTCAACTTTTCTGCCAGGTTTCTCTTTCCCAGAGGTTGCTTCCCATCCAGATGTTGTCTGCCCAGCAGGATTTGTTGTTCCAAACCAGCCTGAGTAAAGCACCCCAACAAACTCCCTTCTCATGTCTTTTTAGCTATTATGTCTCTTGAGGCTTGTGATCCTGCCAGTTCTTTCTCCCGGCCACTCCACTTCTCTCCTTTAGGTCTATAATCTTTGCCTCCCCACCCCCATGTCTTTCAGCAGCTCCTGATACTTGTGTATGTGTACGTGGAAGGGGAATACTAGTGTCTGTTTTTTTGGGTGAAATTCAGAGCTTAAAACTCTTCTTTTGATCTTTGTGTTGTTTGCATCCAAAACCAAAGGTCCTTGAGATCAATCTCATGGGTGGCATTTAGGATGAGATTTACATCTTGGCTCTGGAAGGGCATGGGCTCTGGATTATGGCCCTGTTGGTCTCAGATTCCTAGCAGATGTATGTTTTGGAGAAATAGGCTCAAGTGAAAAGGTGCTCTCTTGCTTTCTTGGTTAACTAAGGCGAAACCCAACCATGTATGGAGAAAAGGGACATTTATAATTCCATGTAAGTAGGTATTCCCCCCCCCTTCCTTTCTTCTATCAGTGTGAAACAGTGGGGGAACAATCAGCCCTTCTCTACCATTCATCAACACCTCAGACATAGTCCCTAGGCCTAGGGTTAATTCATAACAGTGCTCTAACATGCAATTTCATCAACGTTGTCGTTATACTTTTCTAAAATGAGTGATTTTCTTGAAACGATTTAGATTACAATGCAGATCTTTTTAAGTTTGTATTATCTCTCTGTTTCTTTTCCTGCCTTAATTAGTTATTTTTCCCTAACAACTGAAAAAAATACAAACTAGTATAAATAATGTATGCTATTGTAAAAAAGTACAAATTTGTGTAATTAGAAGAACTAACACAATTATAAATATTCAGTAATATTAAAGAATGCATATCATGGACCTGATTGATGTAGACACCCCAGAGTTGCTTCAAGTATGGCATAGGGAAGAGTGGAAATAGGTGCTCAGGAAACACTTTTAAGAAGCCCATTGATATAGCTCTTTATATTGGTTGGAGGGGCTTCAAACAGTGAGTGCACAGGGCACAGGGATTAGGGAGCATGGAGTGAAGGAGGGGGAATCAGGCAAGAAGCAGATACCAACAATCCTGACATCAGCGATAGTACCTTTACTTTAAACATTAATAAACCCAGAGGGTATTCTGTACACACTAACCTGTAAGTAAATCACATCATCTGTGAAACTTGCCACTATGTCTTTGGCAGAAAGGTACCCATGCTGCTGTACCTATGGCACCAGGAATCCAGCAGTGGAGGGAAATGACATTTGGTGACAGAATAGCTTTCAACAGTGCAGTCCCACTTTCCCCCTGCATTCCAGATACCTGCACCAGAGGACTTAGAAACCCCCTTGACTTCAGGAAGTGCTATAAGTTGCATGGGGAGTGGACAGGAATTACTACCATAGTGTTGAATATGGATCTGTGATTTTGGCCATTTTGCCAAGATCCTTCCTAAATCTCTTGAAGTGATACTTGTCTGCACCAGCATGCCTGTTGGGGATAATGTAACTTGTACTCTAACACAGGGGTCCCCAACCCCTGATCCATGGCCAGTACCGGTCCATGGCCTTTGCAGGCCCGGCTGCGGAGACAGATCTCCTACCCCCCACATGCATAGATGCATGCATGCCCCCCACATCCCATGCATGCACAGATACCTGCATGCCCCCCACGCATGGACGGACGCATGTATGCCCCCCACAAATGCATGCACAGATGTAACTCCTGTGTGCATACACAAACACTCAGATGCCCCACACACAAACTAAACTGGTCCGCGGTGTCAAAAAGGTTGGGGACCACTGCAAATACATCTGAAAGGCATAACTTGAAGGGGCTGCTGATTTCCATTCATATTTTGCTTACTATTTTCTGGAAGATGAGTCATGGAAACTGGACTTCTTTCTTATTCGGTCGAAACATTTTGCTACTCATCCGAGGAGCTTCTTCAGTCTGAGGAGAGTTGGTAGGAGACGCCCCCCCCCCATTGTCTAGATAGGCAGGATATAAATTAAATCAATTACTCAATCCTCCATGTTGATTTCACTTCCCCCTGATCTGAATAGTCTCATTAGATGGACAAAGGACCTGGGGAGGGGGAGTGAAAATCTCACCTCTGAAATCCTTCTCCACCCATTGTCATGGGTCCTTAACAGTGGTTATAAGGACCCATGACAATGGGTTGGGAAGGACTGCAGAAGTGCCATTTATTTTTGAAGAGACTTCTGTAGTTAGAGAAGTCTGCACTTAGTTACTGCAGAATACCCATTTTAAAGGGTTAAATATCAGTCAGGAGTTCTTAAATCATTACTGAGTGCGAAATGCTATAATGATTGTGTTGTTATCAGCTGCTGTTATTCATAGCTTGATGTTTCTTTACCAACAAACCATTGTCACTTTTTATAGAACAAAGATTCAAAGGGAAAGAAGTCTACTTAAAAGAACTGGTTATCAATTGGGGGGGGGTCTTAATGTGTGAAATGCTGCATTGAGTGACACAATTTGTGTCTACCATACTAATAAACCATTGTCGCTTTGTCCTCTGTATTCCCACTGGGTCATGGGGCCATTTATAAATGATTGCCATATAGTCTCAGTCTTATATCTAAGGAATACTGTATTGAGCAAAAGCAAAAGATTAAAAATAAAGAAGATGAAAACATTGTGGCACCTTAAAGACTAACTGTTATGTCTGAATGTGAGCTTTTGTGGACAAGTCCACTTCTGCAGACCTAAGAATGGGACTAAATGGCAGATACAATATTTATACATGGCTGTTTGGGGGCATAAGAATTTGACCTGGCAATGACCTTTAAAATCTTTGTTGATACTCAGTTCCCCTCCCAAGAAGCTTTATCTGTAAACAGTGACAGTGATTCGTGGCTAAATCAATCTCAGACTAGCAGGAACAATATGATAAGGAGTACTGTATCTCTAATCACCAATGTCTAAGCAACATGTTAATTAGCAGGAATTAGCCTCCAGGGTTCACACAATTGCAGTTTTGCAGGTGTAAATTCACAGCATGATTCTGCTGAATATCTTAAAGAGAGATTTTGTATATTATGTTGCATAATGCAAGAAGGGAGCTAGCTGTCTGACTACCCTAGTGATTTAGGTACAGTGGTGCCTCGCTTAACGGGCACCCTGTTTAATGACGAATCTGCATAGCAATGTTTTTTTTTGGCAATCGTTTTTGCGATCGCATTGTGATGGTTTTAATGGGAAAATATCGCTTTGTGATGATCGGTAAGCTGTTTTGCTTACTGATTTTCGCATAGCGATGATTTCCCAACAGCTGATCGGCTGTTCCAAAATGGCCGCTGGGTAAAAAAAATGGCCGCCCGCTGTGTTTTCACCTGGATTCCTTGCTTACCGGGCAGCAAAAATGGTGGCCGTATGGAGGATTTTCGCTTAAAGGGGAGTTTTTTGCCCATAGGAATGCATTAAACGTTCCTATGGGCTTTTCCTCCCGCATAGCAACGAATCCGTATAGCGACAATTTTTGCTGCACGGATTATCGTCGCTATGCGGGGCACCACTGTATCTGACTGTGAAACCCGAGATTGATAATTTGAGTCCTCTGAATATTGTACACCTTAGAATACTTTGGAAAGAGTCACAATTGACTTGATGGCACATATTATTTAATGCAAGAAAATCAGGAAGTGCATGTTTTGGTTAAAAATATTAACATGCTTTGACTAAATTATTTCCTTTTCTTATGTTGTGATGATGTTAAGCTTGCGCAAATTAGTTAAAGAGACACTTGTAAATGTCTCTTAATGAAAACTGTCTGTATGTAGTCAATATAGCATTAACTGTTAGCAGAGATCCACAAACTGATGACAGACACATTTAAATTTGGCAGTCATGGTGGAATGCTTGTGGTACATGTCAGCATGAGGCAAATCACAATTTTTAAGGCTGTTGGCAATGTAGGGAGGTAAAAGGCATAGTATGCCTTTAAAAAAACTCCCAGCTTATATACTGTGCTGAGAGATGTTACCATAGATTGAAAGAAAGGACATACATATGCACACTGTACTTGTACTTCTTATATCTTTTTGTCTGTAAATCTTACTAGAAAGCTCCTTTTTAAAAGAAAAGTTTGATGCTTTATTTTAGTGGAGCAAGACGGGGTGCAAGAGAGCTGAGCTTTAGTGGCTGCTGAAAATGATGGTTGGTTCAGAGAGTTTTTTTCACATTTT